CCCCAAAACCCCAAAACCCCAAAACCCCTTCATGATCATTTTTATTGATTTAAAAATAATGTTCGGTCAAAAAGGGTGGTTCAACCCTGAGAATCAGATCTTTTGGATAATCTTGTTCGCATTTAAGGTCTTGTTAGCCTTAAACACAAGACCTGTATACCAAAATGATGAATTCACTCAAAGCACTCACGTTGCTTACGATATTGTGTATGGAAGTGGACACCAGACATGGGAATGGATGGAAGAGTTCAGCCTGAGACCTGTTTTCTACCCAATGTTGTTCGCTTTCCAATATAAACTCTTGAATATATTCTACCTTGACTTTGCTGTGTTCATAATCTACCTTCCTCATTTCCTGCATGTCGTTCTGTGGCAGATTAGTGATCTTTACTTATATTATGTAGTGAAGGAAGAATCTAAAGTGCATGAAGATAGAAGATCTTTAAATAAGAACGGAGGATATGCTAAATTGACGCTGTTAATTCTGATGAATTGTTTCCTAACAAATGTATTCATGCCAAGGACTTCTACCAATGCTTTTGAAGGACTGCTTCTCCCGATAGGACTATACTACTGGAGAAAAGTCGAATCAGACAATACTTTGATAGATCTCAATGCTATTAGGCTAACTGTAGCAGTAGTTATTGCCTTTATCATCAGGCCAACTAGTGTTTTGGCATGGCTAGTTCCAATGGGATGGAAAGTCTTTGCTCATAAGACCTTCTTGAAATTCTTTATCTGTGGAATAATCATTGCAGTTCCAATGATGATAGGGTCAGTCATTCTTGACAGCTTGTATTACGGAAAATTCACCTCGACTCATTACAACTTCATTGATTTTAATGTTCTTCAAGGGGGAAGTGGAGACTATTTCGGTAAAAGACCAATATGGGAATACATGATATACATGATACTTATTATGGGCCCAATGATTATCTTTGTCTTTATTGGACTTAGAAATGAGCTCATAGCACATATAACAATGAAGAGATTCCCTCTTCTTTTCTCAGTATTTTGTTCTTATGTTGGATTTATGAGTTTGATCTCTCATAAAGAAGTCAGATTTCTTGTCCCTATGTGCTCATTATTGAGCTATCTTGCAGCATCAGGGCTTAAGAAATATTTGACTTATGGAAAATATGTGATAATCATTTATATTGGGTATTCAACAATCCTCCTTCTTGGGCAAGGATTCACGAAAAGTTTTGCTTATTTAGGAAACGATTACATTAATTCTTATAATTATGAGAGTGCATATTGGTGCGACAATGAAGGCTCGAGCTTTCTGTTAGATTTGAATCCTGGAATGCATAATGAAAACAATCCTAAAATCCTAGCAAATGATAGGATCTACCCTTTCGCACTCCAATACCACGATGAGCCTTACCTTGCTAGTCATGACAAGTACACTATTTGTTTTGATGCTGTTCTTGATTGGCAAAAACAAGTAAATGACTTAAGAGTCAAAGCTAGAGCTCAAGTCCGGGATACTTCCAACAATACAAAATCTTTTTCTAACAAATTGTGAGAAAACTCTTTAAAAGACTACCCAATGCCTGAATATTTTGTGCTTCGTTATTACATTCCTAGTAATTTGATGCTAAGAAAGATTGAGCAATGGATGGAAAATCCTTTCCTCATAGAGGAGTTTTATGAGGAAAGACAGGATTCTGATACTTCAGAGCCTATTCCAAAGAAAGAAAGGAAAAATCTTCTCCCATACAAGTAAGGTTATAAGTATAATTAAGTTTAGGAAAGTCTATACAACATTTAGGAAGGCCTGGGCTACCAGATGAAGACCTCACATCAAGGGTGGACCTTGTCTTGAATATCTTTATGTTTATAAAAGACAAGATGAAGGATGACATGAATAAGTGTAGATGAATCAAATCAATTACAGGCTCAAGAATTGGGGTTTTGGGGTTTTGGGGTTTTGGGGTTTTGGGG